CTTTTGCGCCCTGGATGCATCTCGCGATGTGTTCCTGCATCATCGCTGTCCTCTTTCTCCTCGCCGCCCGCCTGTCATCAGTGTGCGAGAATGATACCCACAGCGTTACGAACGGCGCGATCTATATGACGATTACTGCTGTCGCGGAGACGACTCAATACATCGATGACCGCAACCATGTAAGTTATGGGCATTGATTGAGACAAGTGGGGGAACTAGGCGCGAAGTCACCGCACCAGTTGGGCAATTCAAGAGAACGAAGACGGAGATAAATATATTGCGCAGTGTCATGGACTACCAACACGACAATGGACGCCATCAACATTTCCCGCGGTAAATTCTCACCGTAAACAGCCTCGTAATAACCCTGACAGGTGATGGGGTGTCCTCGCCGAAAACGGCGCTCCGCATCCATTCATATCGGCACCTCTGGGAGGGGAAAGGGGGAGTGGAAGAGATAAAGTGGAACAAAAAAAAAAACTGCTTCGTGGGTCTGCGCTTCATATTTTTCTTTATTTTTCTTTTTTTCCTTCCCATTATTGGGCTTTGTCGTCTGCCCCTCTGGCCCCATATGACTATCCTCCACTTCTACCAGCCAGACGACCCAACCGGGGTCACACAGGAGGAGGGGTTGGACCCCCTCCTACGGTTTCTGCCAGAGATATTTTTATCGCGAGAAGGGTATAGCAATCCCTTCCCTCGCGACTTATGAAGTCGATCAACTTCACTAACAACGAGCTTTGGAGCGCGTCGCTTTCAACAGAGACCAGGATGTAATTACAAATTGTAGCGAGAAAGAAATCGCTCCGTCGGGACTCGAACCCATAACGTGCTTCTGTACCTCACGGGAGGTAGAACTAATTCCACTACTATACCTCAAGAGCGAGGCCGCCACCGATCTGGAAACACGTGCGGCATGAATAGCCATAGCCAGGGCCACCACATGCCTCTGGCAGCGGCGGCGAATTTGGAGATTTCGGTCTACCGCTGAATTGGACGCGGTGGTCGCTACACAACGGCATCCAGGTTGAACCCGAGTATATGCTGGAAACCATAAGCTTGGTCTGTTCATCATCGGCGTGTTATGGCGTTCCGCACGCCCGACTTTCATCCAAGGCGAAAAACATGCGCATGCATTTTTTGTTTAAAAACCAAAAACAAACGCTGTTGCTGCTGCTGCTGCTGCCTCTGGGAGACGGCCCCGCGCTGGCGGGTGAGATTATTATCCGCATTTTTAGCGAGTAATCTGCGTACACGAGACCATTTTCCAAACGGATTTCTTCCCAAGAGAGCCTGAGACATGTACTGACGGCACACGCGACGGCAAGAAGTGCCCTGACTCCAACGAGACAGACCCGCCTGCGACGTGCGGGGTAGTCGGATTCCGGTGCGCGCCTACCCCGGGGGTCTTGCCATCACGAGGTCATGGCACAAGGACTCACAGAACTCACCGTGAATAAATCCCGCGCTGTCCTGGCAAGTAACCTCCCTTGTGATGGTGTGGCCCTGCCCTGCGAGTACGACAGCGGGCTCCACCCCGGTTGTCGTATGCGAGCGTGATGAAAGTGGGGTGCAAGGTGGGGCGGAAAAGGGTCCTACATCATTGTCCCCGGGATGCTCCAGTACGCCTGCATACTTTGAAAACCATGAAAGTGGTCGAACAGCTCTGCGTTCCTCTCCTTTTCTATTTTTACTATGTGCGCTCCTCTGTCAGCATCCAATGCTTGATTGTTTTAGTCATAATATACCATAGCTTCTGGTGGAAGATGCCTTGAGCCTTGAAACTTCCATCTATCCTCTCGCGATGTTCCCAGGTACATGCACAGCAATGTTCAGCTCGATCTGAGAGACTTGTTTTATGCTGATTTCAGTTCAGCAAGCAACCCCATATTATGCCGCCAATTGATAATTAGACCTAAATCAACTCAGATCCGAACAATTCCGGCACCCGCGCTTCCCCTATGGTGTTACATATGAGAGCAGCCCCCCAAATTTAGAGTCTAAACTCGTAGAAGCAGCAGGGGCGTGAATGAAGAACCGAAAGTTAGCTTCTTAGTCAAACCAGCTTGTAGCGGATGTCTGCCTATTAGTATGTAGTACATGTACTGCTGTAACTCTCCCATGAAGAGGGACAAATGCCTGGCTTTACCACAGCTGCCACCGGCCCAACTTTGGCCACGCTCATGATGGAGCCTCTCATGAGCTTATCTGCTGTCCCACCAGCTTGCTCAGAACTCCACCACTCCACTCCACCACAGAGTTCGAAATGCGGCGCAAAACTGCACTGCTGTACAGCAGTAGTCCATCCGCAACTCCAACTCCGAACCGTGATGTACCAATTTTCTTTTGCAGGTGAGGAACAAGGAGGGCCACTGACGCGCGACTGCGGAAGGGGTCTACATTGGCACGCGTAGTCCATTCCAGAGTTACGGAATACTGTGCTATGCTGCGAAACATGAACAACAGCAGTCCAAACCGATCTCGGGGGCACGCCTGAAGTACAAATACACGACATGCCCCCTCATCGTTGCCCCGACTAGTAGGCCCCCCCGCGCGTTCACTTGCCTTGGTTCGCTTTCACTGCAGTTGCTTCCATACTGCTGTTGAGCAGACCTCTGCTCTCTTCTCTGTCTCCGTCCGACCCGATTACTGCCTAAGATATGGTGGGTTTTCCGTTATGTGACTTGACTCATAAATGTTGTAGGTGGAGGTGTAGATGATGACCACCTGCAGGCGCCTTCCTTTCGTTTGTGTTCATCGCGCTGTCTCTCTTGATCCGAATCTACACCTCCATGACACCAGGCCAACACCTTACGACCGTATCTCAATGCGATACGTGGGACCTTGGATGCGGCACTGTGTCTCCGCAACTTCCCTTCCCAAACTGTGGAAAGGCACAACAAGCCAGAGGTTGAAACAAGGTACGCCAGCGATGAATGCTTGTGGAGAAACACGGTATTTACGTTTACTGCCAACTGCTGCATTACAGCACTGTAGTGTATAATGTTCTCTTAACACCAGCAAGTGGGAGATCTAGCGGACTGCTCGTGCTACTTTCTCGGCGCGCTATCCGCACTTCTTCTTAACCCGTTTAGGATGCACAGAAAATGGGGTGTCCGTGTGAAATTTTCTGAAGCATAAGAACAAGACTAACAGTTGATTGGATGATGCGGACAGTTCCGGCCCTGGTTGCAAAGTGCAAAGCTAAAGCTGCCTCCGTCTCATGTATACAACCATCATCAACTTGCCCCTCGATTAATCGAAGGGCCATTGATAGGGATTAGACAATATCTGGTGGGAGCGTGGTAGAGGGGTTTTTGGGTTTGGAGGTTTTGAAGATATTTCTGTGGAGAGAACGCGCGACAGTCTACAATCCAAGCTCTCGGTTGCGCGGCGCCTCCTTTCATCGGTGGGCGGGGTGCTTCTTCCCCGCATGCCCCTAGTAGCGCAATCCAGTCAAGCACAGATGGACGCGGCGCAATTTCGCTGTTGAACCTGCGGTATCGTCCCTTGATTCTCCCTTCCACTGCAGTACCCTCTTTCTCCCCTCTGTGAAGCACCCACACAACACGGACTATAGTTCTCCCGTTGTACCCCGGCACCCCCATTGTCGAGAACTCAAGATGGAGACGTTTCTTCGCGAGCTGAAGCAGCTGAAAGAATGGGACCAAGTGTCCCCCAAAATATCGACCCAGCACTTGAGGGGTTAAACCAATTCAGAACCACTCTATTCGCGCGGGCACATCGTTTGTTCTACCATAGATGAACCAAAACCAGGCATTTGTTGTCTCGGCTTTGCTTTCGAACCCATTCACCATAATTTGCCACAGCAGTCGTTGCGCACATGGAGGCTGTTGCAAGAGCAGCAGTGTCCACTCACTCGTGAACAACGCCTGTTCACAGCAAGGCTCAAGGCCTTAGAGTGCCGAAACGTTTGAGTTCAGACTATCTAAGCTACTGCTGTAAACCTGGTAGGTATTTTTGTGTTTCGTAGATGGCTAAGGCGACTTCTTGCGCCACTTCCTTGTTTTTCCCAACAATCTGAGCCTGGATATCTTGTGAAGGTGTTTCTTTTGAGCGGCCCGGTAGTGCAAATCGTGAGGCTACAAGTACTCGGCAAAATTCGTTGCTTTGACTTGCGTACATTCCCGCCTGTCTCTTTGGTTAGCAAAGTGCAAGTTTTGCTGCGTCGGAAGAGCAGCTGTTTCCCTCCTCGGGGTGCTGTTTCAATAGCTTGCTCGTATCGCTTACAGGAGCAAGCGTGGAGCTTGTACAGGCTCCAACCGCGACGCTTCAGCCCTGCGTATCAGTACACCCATTACGCGTGACACCCCTAGTGCCTTCATGAAATTCTCCCCCCTTTTCTCTCTCATGCAGACATGAATCATCGGAAACAAACATTGCAACCCTCCAACCTGTGCATGCCAAACGAAAGTCCACATTAAACACACGATTCTTCATCCTGCATAATCGCTGCAGAACAGTTGCTGGTGTTGTCGCGCTCAATAATGTTAGGTAGACCATCTTGTGTAGGTGATACAACAGGAGATTCGGAAATAACACCTGAAATGGACACCAAATTCTTGCACCATACCCGAAGAGGCCTCTTTTGAATCACCAACTTTTAGGCAACACTTTCGGATAGCCCCTTTGTGTCCAATATGTGTGGGAGAATGAGCAGGGTATGGATTTAGCTGCTATGCAGTGTTCGTTAGGCGATTGGTCCCACAACCTCTAGCAGCAGCCACACGAGGTGTGCCATGTGGCTAGCCGAGAGCGGATAGCTTCGCGATAACCATTTCTTCGTTCAGTCGCCCGGACTCGGAGGACACCCATCCGACGTGTACGGCAAATGAACGGAAGATGTCGTGGTAGCAGCGGTAGGATTTTTTGCCGCATGCTTTCTTCCTATCGCCAGGCGGCACCATACACAGCTCGCCAGGAATGGCTTGCGCACTATGACAAGAGACCTATACACTGCCCTCTTTCCCCCGAGGGCTCCCGGATATTGTTCGATATCTCACGCTGCAGTGATGATCCGCGATTCGGACCACAGCAGTTAAAGTTGATTGCATGCTGCCAGCAGCAGGCCGCTGTTCGAGGGTACCTGTTTTCGTCGCGGCCTTAACGATTTCGTCTGAAGCCAACTTGTTTCAGGCCGGTTTTGGTCCTGGTGGTGGTGATCTTCCACTAAGCCCTGGTCTATCTGCACCGTGACCGAGTTTCGGCCGGTTTGGTCAACCCCTGCGGTGACTTGCTCCACCGGTCGTGACTTAATGGGATTTTACGTATGGGTTACGGCAGCAGTGGCCTGTGCTGGTTCTACGGCGTCGATGAAGCTGAAGTGAATCAAATCGTCGGAGCGTGGCACGTTTTGGGGGAGAGCCTCCGACGCGACGATTCCCTCTGCAAGCGACAAATCTCGAAAATTGATGTACAGCATTAGCAAACAACACATAGAGCAGCGCCGTAGAATTCCCCTCGCCGTTTCATGTGTGATGCATAACTAGAAACCTCTGTCTTACTCTACCGCAGGTCGAGCAAAGAACTTCTTCTCAACCCGGTGACGATTTGCCGGAATGAACAAGAGAAATGCCTCATCGAAACAAGCGTCAACAGCGTGCGAGTTAGCATTGCTGTTAAGCAAGCTGACGAGATCGAGACGATTCTGTGCCACAAGTTCACGAGCTTCTTGATGCAGCGTGCGGAGCAATTTTTGGTGATGCGACGAAAGCCTGCCGAGGTTAGTGTTGTAATATCACAACCGCAACCGTATTTTCCTCTCGTCCGCCGGATAGATGCGTCGCGAACGAAAAGGGTGTTGCTTGGCCGAAAGAGGTGTATGTTCAGTGTATTTGTGATGCACGTGGTGGAAGCTCTACGCATTTAGTTTGACACGATGATACGATGGAGGTTCTTCGGCGATATCAATCTAATTAGTGCTCTTGTTCACCCACGTGTCGCGTGATTCGATAGGGATTCGACATCAGCTTCCTCGTGACTCACTCGCACCTGGAGAAGCTGTGGAAGCATAAGCTGATCGATTTCATTATCCAGTTCATGGAAGACATCGACAAGGAAATCAGTGGCATGAAAATCGCCATCAACGCGAGGGGAAGAATAATTGCACAGCAGTTCATGCTTCAGTTTGTGCAGTAACATGAGCGTCTGTCGCGCCTCTTGGTTCGAAATACCGTACGGTGGGATTCACCGGCAAGAATGCTTTGTTATGCGTTTGCTCCAACAAGCGGAAGAGTATTCAGCAGGTAATTGGCAGCCCTAGGCTCTCATGTGCTGCTGTTTGCACAAACCCGTGCACTGTCTTCACTGCGTTAACGAGTTGCCGACGCAGGTCGTGTATCGTTCGCAAAAAGATATAACAAAAATTGCTGTGGATGGCGATGTTTTGACATTTTGTTGGTTCATTTCTCCTGAAGCATCAACTGCAACGGATAAAACGTACGAGAGCGTTCAGTGTAGTTGAACGCCGGCGATGCACACCTAACGCGCCTCGGTCCTGCGACTGGCTCGTCAAATGATGAGGCGCAGAACATTTTCTATTGCGACACCAACACACTCACGCCTATCATTGCAACGGATAGTATAAGAACGGTTATCCTCGTAGTACCCTTGGCAAACCTAAAAACGAACACCCTTTCTACCATTGCCTCCCTTGAACGAACGAGCTACAGCCTCGAAACAATACTTGGAGCCTACCAGTAGAAGGTCAGCAACGGGATGAGATGCAAGCAACAGAAACGAGGAGCGGCGTCTTAACTAGATGCACGCCCATCTTTTGGTTCATTGGCGATCCTAAACACGGCAAAGACAAAAAACTAACACTTGCACCATCTAAAGATTTGGCGATAGAAAGATGATTGTGACCCCCCTTCCGTCAAGACCGAACGATCAGGTTCCGAGCGGCCATGCGTTCGCCTTGATTTCTGGCTTGGGCGGTACGCGCAAAGTCTCGCCCACTTGCTCCGCATCGTGCTGCCTCCGCCCCTCGCCTTGCAAAACCAAGAGACGAAAAAGGGGGCAAGGTGTCAAGCGGGAAAAGAGTCATCAACAGGGCGCTCGGACGTGCTTCAACTTTCCAAGGGGTACACAATAGCGTATAGGGTTGCTATCCCGACGATGTCCATTCGTGCTTCAACCCGCGAATGCAACGTAAGACTGTCTTGAAAATCGATTTCATCTCGTAGGGCAAAACAATTCCATTCACCCTTGGACTTACGGTGATTGGAACCTCATGTCGTCAAAATAGACCATCACGGCTCGTGCACCTGAAACAGACCGCGGCTTTGCATAAATCGCCAGCAAGCCGTAGGCACTGCCATATTCTGCCTTCCAAGGAAATTCACGCCTTGTGTTTCTTGAAGCCTGCTCTCAGCTTTCTGAACGAAATTTCACGCGGTAGGTCCGCATCGAAAGACTAGACGACGCGCTTAGTATACTGTCACAACTGTAGTAAAGCTACTTACGCACAGAAAGCACAGCACAGGGATGCAGAGTTTGGACTCGCAAAACGACATTTGCAGCAGCCATCATTGAAACATGAGTCGCGGAACAGTTTCACAAAATCACCCCAATGATATTAGTATCTAAATCACCTCTCGTTCAGACAAAGGTCGGGATCAGGGCTTTTTGGCGCGAAGATCCGGCTTAGGAAGGGACGTAACACATCACCTCTGCCTAGTGAACCTGTAGGTTGACTCCTTGATAAATTTGCCTTCCCAAACGGAAAAGGCCCTGGGAGATTCCGCAACACAGCATCTTTGTTTGAATTGAAGAACGAGCGTGTGTTTGCACGCACTTTTGTCCACAGTCAGAGGGTCGTCCCGAGTTCGACGTGCTTGAGGGAAACCAATCATATCGTCAACCCGTCGAAAGTATCGATGTCCGTATCACGAGCAAAACAACGTTGAGACTGAAAGCGATATTCCGCTGAATCCAACCTGTAGCATAATAACAGCGTAGTCCTAGAGGATGGAGTGACATTCGCAACAGCTGTTTTATGAAGCATCGCGAGCTATTCTATCCTGTTGGGATCAACAATAGAGTATGGTCTCCTTCAAGTCACGTCACGTCAAGCACCTGTCGGCCTGTCGTCCGCTTCCGTCATTTCATCGTCCTCTTCTGGCATCCGCAACGTAGCCGGGGTTTTGACCTCAGCACCCGTTTCAATCGGAACCCCGGGGACAGCTTCGAGGGACCGAAGGATCTCGAACAGCTGGATTTTGGTCTGTGGTACCAAAGCACGACGGGGAAATCACATATTTCGTTAGAACGGTGTGTCAGTCCCTCACATAGTATGTACGTGTCGGGCTATGACGGTGTGAGCGTACATCAAGTTGCACGGCTACAAGCGGCACTTGACTTGTTCCACGGTCAGTGAGACCTGACACATGGCACGAGTGTGATCAGTACCAGCTGGCATCACTGAAACCTTAAGTTTAAACAGGCTCAACATAAGCCTAGCATCCTACCGTTTTGCTCCCCCGCTTACTGCGAAGACTTAAATACCCTTCGACCGTGGTGTCGTATCCAACGGGTAGAGTCTTTCAGTGATTTTATGGTATATTGAACGTAATAAATCGAGCTGAATCGGGAGCTTTTTCGTGTGTCTGCATGCTTTACACTCGACCGAAGGAGCGGCGAGTGTGCCGTATGAAGAAACATCAAAAGGGCTCCTGATTTAGCTCGATAAAGTAGAAGATATCATACAATCAGTGAAAGACTGCCCGTTCGAAGGGGGGGCGAGTGTGTAGCATGCAGAGACACGAAAAAGCTCCTGATTTATCTCGATTTGTTACTTACAAGATACCATCATTGAAAGACTCTTACCTGTTGGAGAAAATACCACAGTCGAAGAGTATTGAACTTCGCAATAGGCGGGGGGGCAAAACCCTAGACGTATTTTGAGCCTATTCAAGCGTATGCACTAAATGTATCAGTGATGCCAGCTGGTACTAATCACATTGCAGTATGACGCAAAACCTCTCGAGTCCAAAACATAACGCAAGCGAGCTCGCGGTACCCTACTTGATGTCACGGCATCTCAAAATTTTGTGGTTGAAAATGCCCATCGTTCTGAAGCCCGATAGGGATTCAGTTTCTGTCGCCGATATTCTCAGAACCTATATTCGAAAATGACCGCAATTCTTTGACCCTGCCAAAAAGTGACCCCACCAGAAAGTGGCCCCACTTTCTGCATTCCACTTGGTTTTAGACTGGGCGATCTCCGGTCTCTTGTCAAAAAGCAAGTTGTTCTTCTTTCGTCCATGTTTCTCGAGACCACATTAATCTGACTGACTGAGGACCACACAGCAGGAGTAGAGGGCACATAGCGATGACACCGGTCGCCCCGGTGGTCTAGTGGTATCCTCGTGATTCGTAAGTCGCAGAGGTCGTGACTTCGAATCCCCGTGGGGTGAAAAATTTCCGAAATTTGCGGGTGAAAGCGAAAGCTCTCGTGACTACCAAACTTCGACGTTAGCACCGTTGACGAGGGAAAGGGACGACTGGACCCTTCTCGCGATAAAAGTATAAGTCAGCACGCACCGCAGGAGGAAGGTGGGGCATGAAAAGAAATAAAAAGAAAAGCCCTGGTGTTTACCCCCCTCCTGTGTGACCCTGGATGGTTGTAGTTGTACGAAAAAATAAACTGAAAAGTGTAATACTCTACGTACGCTGAAAAGTATAGTACACGTCTCGCCACGAACAATGGGGGGACTGTCGCCATAATAAAATGGACGAAAACACACACACATAGCAGTGGCATCGAATCTTTGTCAGGGCTTGTCTTAGCTGCACTTTTGTGGACAGGATCTACGGTACTGATGTGATACTATGCATACATCTATTTGCACGGCATACATGCGCAGCCAATTGCCAACCATTACACTTCTTCTGTAGACACATAGATACAGCAGTACGCAATTCGACTGCCAACTGCCACCTTTGGACTTCTATAGAAACGCAATTTGACTGCCAACCATGGTGGGTGCACAGGTCATACGCCCGCACTTCCCGTCTGCTTGTCGCACACGCACACCGAAGTCTTTTCATTGGTCGACTGGTTAGGGCGGTTGATGCAATAATAAAGGCACTTTACCCTTTGATTTTTTCTTTAGGCGAGTGTGGGAAGCGTCCTCTATTTTTGTTTTTGTTTTATTTTGATCAGTTTCCGAGGGCTCTTTTCTCGAACGGTCGGTGCAGTACCTGTTCTTTTGTTTCTATCATTTTGTTTGTTCTTTCCCAGTGGTTTTACCCTATTTTTGTTTTTTTTCCCCGCGGCGTCGTATGTGCCGGGTTTTGAGACCACAGGCTCCCCATTAGTTTGTGGACTATAGAGCTATATGTGAGAAACAACAACAACAACAACAACACCCAAGCTGCAGAGTTCATGTACGCTCGGCCTGTCGCCTTCGCGGCTATCCTTCTCCTGTTCGCGCCGACTCCGGCTATGAAGAGGAAATCTCGTCCTCCTCACAAAGCACTGCCGGCACGAAAAAATGATGCGTCCACCCCAGCAACGACCCACTTCTTTGCGTCCGGAACGGACTCGGGCGGCAATCCTCTCCCTATGAATCCGTGTTACTCCTTGGAGGCGGTACGCGTCAGGCCGGGCTAGCAGCTGCGCGGGCAAGTCGTTCCGCAATCAACGCGTACGAACGAAACCGCCTCTAGGCGCGCCAACGCCCTCAACTTATACTATGTCAGCGGAGGGCGAGCAAGCGAGTCAAGCACTCCAACGAAGGATCCCACCGTGCCAGCCATGTCGTGCAAGACACAACCACCACGACTGTTCAACGCGCCGTTCACTCGTCGGATTGCATCGCATGCCACTTTCTTCTCCTTGCGTGTCTATGAGTGGTCTGCGTACTGATTATGGAGGTGTTTCATTTGTGCACTTCTGTTTAGCGGCGTTTTTGCATTTCATCAAGTGGCGTTTCATGATTGCTCGACCTCGACATAAATTAGCGCCTTCATTCTCCTCGTCGTCCTTCACTGTAGTACCTGGTACATGTCATGTATCGTACCCCTGTACTACACGAGGTTTCATTATCTTATCTGGTCGGACTGCCTTTAATTTACCGCTTTTATTTCGAGTTCATTTTCCCGCGTGCGTGTGTTTGACTCGGCAGACCTGAGTCCATTTTGCCCTTGCGTGTGTATAACTGATCTTCGCGCCTGGCCTTGCCTGGTTTCTGGTTTCTTTTGCGGATTGCCGTTTGGTTGCGGTGTTCGTCGCGCTGCAGACATGTGCCTAGACCGTCATTAATGATTTTCCACCACATCTATCTTATCTATCTTCCCTCTCACACTTATAACCCATCGGGGCTGCCCTCGGTCATTCTCTCCCGTGCTTGACGACCGGAGGCAAATCTGTGGTTCACGCTTCCCCGTCTGCCCGACGAAGCGTAGCCCTGCCAATCCTCATCTGACGCAAATGGCTACCATGGTGACGGCCGACGGCCACCTGTCGTTTTTCCGACTCGGTACCCATGCCAACGCCAAGTCAAGAACGAGGGAAAATGTTGCTTCTTCCCTTCGTTCAACTTCTTTTTCATCACCGCGAACAACATTACTATCATCGTCGACCCCCACATAGATAGATATAACCTCCCTGGCCAACTAAAGGAAAGGGCTTCAGATGAGGCCGGGGCTACCCCCCGGGCTGTTATTTTTTGTACGATTGATTGCATCCCAGTGGCAGGAATACAAATACCTTCAGGTGTTACTTGTCCGGTGCTTTCGAAAGTGCGTTCTTTGACATAAGTGTGAAAATCTTTGAAGGTCTGCTTCCGCGTACCCAAGCACCCGCACAACAGCAGTTCCAAACGAACGATGTTTTCAGCTGGCTTTGGAATCTTCGAAAGGTACCCCCATCCCATCAACCAACCCACCTCCTCCAGAGTTTCCCTCTTGTTCATGTCCTCCATGTTGGACGTGGGCATGTGCAAGCGGTAGTCGGGGCCGTAGTACTCGAAGTAATCATTGTATGGAAGCATGTCCTGCAACGCGGCGGAACGGGGGCGATACTGTCAAAACATGAGGCCAAACCGTTTGATTGGTGCAACCATGCCGTGTTTCATACAAAAGGAGTAGGAAAGAAAACAGCACGTACGTGTGCCATCCAACGTTCAAGTCGACTACAATCGAGCTTGACATCTGTAGGTTTTGCTGACGAAGAGCAAATTTATCGTTGGGCGTTGTTTTCCCGCTGAACGCGAACGCGACGGCTACATCAACAACAACCAATGCGTGCGCCCCCTTGTAAGTCGTACCATTCTGCTGTTCTGCTTACCGACGGCTCAGTGTCCAGAAGTACCCCAGTTTCGTATGCCCAGCAGCGCGGCACGTTGCGAAGCGTGTAGCCTCCTCCACCAAGCACCAATAGCGGCACATTGAAGCTTTTCACGTATTGCACGCAATCAGCGTGGCCCTTGAGCGAGAGGTTGAAGCAGCCGAGACGATCACCTGAGAGGGAGTCTGCTCCGCATTGCATTACGATTGCCTCCGGCGAGTAGTGCTCCATCACCTTCACAACAAGCAAGGTTGTACATGTCAGAAACGAAATAGTTGAGTGCCAAACATCCAAACAATCGAATTTAGGTCACGCAATTTCCACGAAATCTGGCCGAAGATCCATGGTGAGTGGATGATAACGTCTCCCCTGCCAAGAGAAAAGCTGAACAAGAACTAATATTGGCGAAAATGGAGGCAACAGCGCTAGTGCAGGGCGCACACGCATGGTGGCAAGCTCTGACACATACGAAGCACTTTGGGTGAAAAAATGTACCACCTTTTCGATGACTGGCCTGAAGATACTTCGGTAGCTCTGGTCGTTGATGCCGTCTGCCAACGGGAAGTTGATTGCGTAGTTCTTCCCCTGTGCCACGCCTGTGAAACACCACGTCAAAGCAGGCAACGCAAAGAAAAAATGAAAATGCAGGTGAACTCACGAGTGTACCATGCCATCTAAAATTGAGCACCAAGTGCTGCTCGCTAGCGACGAAGACATTGCAAAAGGGTGGATGGACAGTAGTCGAGTCGCGGCTCGCATCGCACATGCCAACAATAATGCAACCTCACCAACATCTTTGACGTCGCCCGTGCCGGGGAAATATTCTCCAAACTTGTGGAAAGACACCGTCATGACCCGGTTCGTTGTGTAGAAGGCCTCCTGCAAGCAGTACGCCACACAGAAAGACGTAGAATACGGTTCAAAAACGACACATCTGGCTCTCCAAACACACCCAACTGCTCTACGCCTCGGCGTACACACCAGCAAATGCCGAGTAGGTAAAATGTGCAAGCCTTGTGGCATTTCGACAAGACAAAGAGTCCTACCGTGATCGAGTCCATCGTGAAGAAGTTTGCACCAATCGTTCCAAAATAAATAATTACCACCGTGACGTTGCCAGCTATGGCACAGTCCGGAGTATAAAGAGCAGGTGTAATACAAAGCAAAAACAACGTGATAAATTCAACCTCGCACAGGTATCGCACAATGGCACAATGTGCAGTCAGTACTCTCGGAAATCCACTTCGATGTGTGTGGTACCACGAGGTTATGGACACTTCTTCAGTGCTGATTACCTTAGGGTTAAGATGCTCATATCCGGAGTCCCACTGGTGCATCGCACCGTGAAGGCGCACACGTGGACATGAAAAAACTTCCATTAATCGGCATTCATCGACAACCACTACATCTATCAGCAGCGCAAGTACCGCACTCTACAACGCGCCGATGCACGGTACTGCCTTCACCGCTTCGGAGGAGAACAAGAAACGAGGAGACCACTCACTCCAAAATAAGTTTGCACGCACATGTGGACACGTTCAAGCAGGCAAACGAGTAGTTGGACATTGCACATCCCAAACCAAACTCGCACTGCACATATCAACACATTGGCGGGAAGCTTGTTAGCACCGATTTTCACCGCGATTGGCAGGATGTTGAGAATTCGCCGCGATTTCATTGTTCACCGACGGTTTACTTATTGATTTGTGTTGTGTGCTCTTCGGAGCTAATGCACAAGTGGCGTACGCGAAGTTGCCACCCCATGATCAAAACAAGTGCGCCCTTGTGCCATCATAGCTCGCAACCCTTCCGGAAATAATATCACCTCCACGCCGTCTCCATGGTGAATGTCGATGTCGACGTACAGCACACGCTGATGTGTCTTGAGCAGCTCTAGAATTGCCAACACGCAGTCGTTCACGTAGCAGAACCCAGAAGCCTCACTCTTGATAGTCAAACACACGAGTGAACGATGCACGGGAAACTTGCTGAGTCGAGGATATACCGTGCGTGGGCGGTACTACACTGCCATAGGCGACGTGCTCGCCACTGCACGCCATACAGAAACGACGACTGCGGATAACCTGAACCCCCACCACCATAAAGAACGGGTTCAAGCGAGCTACTGGTTTGGCACGACGGAAAACTCACGAAGTCCTCTCTCAAGTAGCCAAGCTCGAGAGATTCGCGCTTGAGTTGAATTGAGCAGCATATATGTATACTGCTGCGTGTGCGAAGCCGACACCCTGGATCCCCCCCCGCAGACTTGAACCACGCATATCTTAAACCGTAGCCGCTATTGTTGTATCAGCATGCAGGCGGACTGTGAATGGTCGGGTACGAAATATTGTGGGCTGGCATGAAACATATCGGAGAGGAACTTCAAAAACCAGCGAAGCCCACCAAACATCGGTGGAACGCCTTCGTGAGAAATTGAGTTCATGAGGAATAAGAAAAGACGGGGTACGCTGACCCTATCCCTATCCCAAACCCTAACCCAACTTCCCTCATTGCATACTTTATACAACATGTTCAGAAAAAAAAAAAACTAGGGAGGCTGCTGACATCGGTGGGGGGGGGGGGGGGGGGG